TCCAATAATTGTTTATTATTTTGTGTTACTCAAATTGCGAGTCTTAAGTGTCACAGGGAATTAGACTGAATGGGAGGCAAACAAACTGAACCTGTGACTTTCGTTTTCTTTTGTTACTCAGTTATCAAATTATCTTCAAATCATGTGATTGAATCATTTCTGGTACACGTGCACATAGATGAATCAATCTATGGAAGTGATTCGGCAACAATAAAATGTGGTTATTTTGTTAATCAAATTGTGTCTTAAGTGTCATAGGCAGTAAGGCTAACTAGGAAATTTGGTTTCACTGTGGATGAGTTCTGATGGAGTCTCAGCCTGCAAAGAAAGTTGAGTTCATTTGCATAATCTGATCCCTCCGAGCTATGCTACATCACTTGTTAATTACTCGCTGACAGAATAAATCAGCACCATAACTTTTAGGGACGGATAACCCACCACTCATTTCCACATCATTTGCACGATATGATCACCCACTACAACTTGTACATGTAACTTGCTATTGCAGGTTGAGAGTTAAAAGGTACTTAATCCCTTAGATCATGCATTCCATGTACTTAGAATGGGTGATTATCTGGTTCACATGAACCATCCACAATTAGTAAGTGAAATCTTTCCTTTTGATGATCAGAGTTTGGGCTGAATAACATCAAATGTCGTGAGAGATCTGCCCAAAAATTAATATTTCCAAGGGTGCAAGGATGTCTTGAGGCCTTAATTAATGTCAGAGTAGAAGGTGTCCTTGTAGTATCAAGCTACTAGGAACTAACACACATCTTTTGATAAACTGTTATTATGCAAAGATATTGTAACAAGTGCGGGCCAACAACTTCCACTCAGAGTCCAACAGCCAACAGTTTAATTTCTCGACTCTTAACATTCAGCTTACCTGTACACGGCAGGTCTACTCACACACACAGGCTACTACATAACATGAGTCTTTTATATATCCTGTGTTACAAGTAAATTGTACATTCACTACTCGCCATATAACCATCTTAGTCTTAGAACCTGTGCGAGCATCACATTCAAATATAACCATTATACATTTTCACATGGGCACCTTAGCTTGTGCAATCTCTATATCAATTTCATTACAGTATGTTTTAGTTGAGTGGTGCCATTAACCACTAGAATCAAGCATGCACTTATTGTTACGCACGTCCTTGCAATTGCCAAAATTAGATTTATGAGCACGAAAACTTGAAGCTTTCAGCGGACTTTATCTCAAGAGAGACCTACAGATGTGTTGAAAGACTTCTGGAATTGGAACAGTCAGTAGGTCATCTCCATTACACCATTACACATTCAAGGATTTGAGATGCAAATGTACTTCACACTAGGACCTATTCACCCCAGAATTTGCAGACACACCCAAAGCAGGAAAGTATTTGAGAACAATTGCACAAATAACCCATCAATATGGCTAATTTGAAGTCAATATTTGTACCAAATCCACCTGTGTTTTTGTGGGTATTTCCAGCTCAATTTGTTCCAATCCTCGAATCTGGGTATCATTGAAAATATTGTTTCTTTCTGTACAACTTGAGTATAAGTGATACCAATTTTGGTGAAGGGTGATGACGTTAGAAGTGGAAAAAAGGCGGATGCCGGTTACGGCCTGTTATGGCTGGGACAGGCACCAGAGGCTTAAAGAGTGTTATAAGAGTTTTTACTTCATCTGTAAAGTCTCTGAAGCTTGTACCTAATGCCTTAGCTTAATTTGTCACTCCACCTACGGGAAATATTCATGTAATGTACAAAGTGAAACAGTAGAGCCTATGAACATTTGTACTATTATTATAGGATATAATTTAACTAACTACCAAAGAAGGACATTTCAACGGCATGCTTTGCGTGCCTAATTAAACCATATTATCAAGACATCTGTCATGTGACCTTATCATTCCCACATAACGTTTTCTACATTCATTGTGTCTACTCCAATGTTAAATTTGAGTACCCCTTTTGCTGTACAGCTTCTTTAAACCTAATAACCAGCTTTGAACACAATTTTTCCATTTGAAATGCGATCAAGATGAATTGTGCTGTTCCTCTGCTCCAGCGAAATCATGGATACCTTGGAAGATAAAAACTCTCCAGTTGTATGTTGAGTGAAAGCAAATTGTTTCTTTTAGGTTACTACTGGTGCCCTTTTAGCTCCAGTGACCTTCCTTATGTGGAAGTGAGATGACTGTATTAACTTGCAAGGGAATTCTCTAAATGTTTGCAAATGTGAGAGCCCCTTACAAAAATCTATTTTAACATGAAATCAAAATGGCTCTTCCTTAAATACTGGAGACCTAAGGAGACCTAAGGGTCTGAATATCAGTTGATGACTAAACTTTGCATACTGGTTACTTTCATCCAAATGTCTACTAGGAATTGTGTGAAATCCTAAGACAACCACTCAACTTGACTTCACAGCAACAGAACGAAATGCTTGCGGCTTTGTCTCACAAACAATGTACCTCTCGATTAAGCCAAAACAGTGCACAAATATGTTAGTTTCCTGAAATTAAAAAATGAGTTGTGAAAAGAAGTTCTTTGAGCAGATACCTCAATCAAAGGCCCCGGCCTGGGCTGCCTTGCATCACTTGTTTAATGTGAACCGATCCACTGCCAAACCAAACAAGCGTAATGCAAGCATAATGCTAGATGAAGTGGACGGAATACATTTTCACTTCTGTTAATTTTATGCATAAAATTTGATCTGCCTCAATCTTTATTTTGTACTCTATACCTGTTTCCTTACTCTTGGAAAGTGCACATTATATGATAGTTTTTGTTCCCTAGATTTTCCTTATGTTATGGCTGCATTTAGTTTTTTGGGACTGCAGTATTTACAATCCTAAAACGGATTGTCACACAGTTTGAGTTCTATGTTGTTTACGCAGCTCTGTGTTTAGGACAATTTTAAGCTTAAATCTGTTGTTTGTTGCTTTATTTCATGAAATGAAATGATACTGATATCAGAGGAATCAAACACCAGTCAGCGAGACTAAGTTCCTAGCAATTTGCGTATAGTTTAAACTACGCTCCTATGCTAGCCTGTACACAGGCTACTCTCACGGCAAAAATAAAATGAAAACTGTGTAAACAGAATTCAAGTGTTACACCTCTGGTATCATTACAAATCCAATTTGATCTGGTCTGATGCTCTGATCTGACCCATAGTGGTATATATACAGTGAGATATTGATCATAGACCTAACAATTAATTTAATTTTGAGAGTCATACACCTGCTTGCTTATTCGCAAAAAAATGCGCTTTAGAAGTTAGTTTTTGATTCACTCATTGTCATCCTTAGATTTTTCTGCGTGACTGAAACCTGTCACTTCAATGTTTTAAGCCTGTCATTTGTTGTCAAATTTGATTTAAACACAGTTTCCTGAAAAAAGAAAAATAGATAAATAAGGTGTCTTGAATCTGTACAGTGTGGTTGAAACATCGCCAAACGCCACCGATGGTTGTCAATTCATTGTCGGTTTTGTACCTGTCTTTCGTAGCCAAAATTGATTAACCTGCAAGTTGCCTGAACCATATCCATCTACCTATCTATCTACCGCCCTTCACAAGAAAATTACATTAGAAACACAAAGAATGGTTACACAGGAATGTCTTACACAGGAATGTACTGAACTCACAACATAACTTTGTACCCAAGTGACTTTGGTCACGTGCACATTAGGCAAAAAAGGACAAAAATGGTGGGAGAGTCGATAAGAGAAGGCCAAACAGGAGAAACTAGCTCAGCGTACAATGCATGCCAGTGAAATCTCCTCCCTTCTTACTACCTGGGACAGTGAGATATTCACATTCCTAGATACAATACAGTTACAGTTGTACTTGTAGAAAGCATTTATTACATTATTTAGGCCAAAATTACAGGGCAAACTATCACTGGCAGACAGATGAGCAAAATCACTGGTCATTTACAAAAACACTATGTTTAACAAAATATAAAGTTATAGTTAGGTGCCAGCTGCAAGAGCTTTGCCTTTTGTAATTTGGCATTTGATTAGTTATTATTTTTTATAGTTTATAAGTTGTAATTTTCTAATTTTATCATATTATCGATTTTTACATAACGCTTTGCATATATTTTACCCATGTCACATAAAACCCTCTGCTTATCAAAGTTCTATATCTTTGTTACAGTTTTTCATTATCTAGTATTAATTAGTGTCCTTACATACATGTAAGTATGAGATTGTTTTTCTAAACTATAAGGTTTTAACACATATATAGTTTCATCGTCACCATCTGTTTCGCAAATAGTTATAAGTATGCACTGCAGTCATAGAGAAATTATTTATTTCCTTGTGTTCAAAACGCACTCATACGAGGTGCAAAAAGAACAAGAAAAAGATCAGGGAAATGCTACTGTTTAAAGGAGAAGGTCACTCCAAAAAGCTTACATTCAGCTTTTTGACTTACTGAAGTTTTAGCCTCTGAAGTGCCTGCTATCCTGAAGAAATTTGTCACAAAAGAAGCGACTTCAGAGGCCGCCATTTTGAAACTGTACTTGGAACCAGGCCATGTTTATGTGACATCGTTCCATCTGACTCGAAATTGGTGGCAAGGAGAAAAAACTGCAACTGACTTTGTATCCTTCACAAGGTCAGCAAATGTATTTTTTCCAAGCGATTATCCACTTCAATATCTTCACTACTATCAGTTTTGGAGTTTGGAGCATGTTTGGCTCAAAATAATATGGCTCAAGAACAGCTACAACCCAAGTGGTAGTTAAAAGGGATGTAATGACATCATGAAAACGTGGCCTGGTAGTTGAGTACTGTTCAAAATGGTGGCAACAATGTTGAATTTTGGGCTTCTTTAGAGACAAATTTCATAAGGAAAGCCTGCACTTTAGAGGCTGAAACTTCTGTGAGTGGCTAAACTTAATGCAATGTCTTTGTTAGCATGGACAAAAAATATCCATTTTTTGGAGTGTCCTTCTCCTTTAAAGGTTGTGCATACCCATAAAATAACTTACCCTGACTTTACATGATGATGCAGGGCATTCCTTGTTAGGATGACAGGGGGCTGCACATGGGTGGCCACACTCCTTGCGTGGAAGTTCACATTGTTGTACGCAAGATTCATTGTCACCTAGACATGGTAGCTGAATGAATAAGAACATACCAAGGTAAAAAGATACAGAATGGTGTCCTGGAATGGAATTAATAAATAATTATACACTTCTATGGTTTTCCATTTTTATAAGCTATGAGTTGCTTATTCCCAATGTTTAACATGCATTCTACAGTACAGCCCTCAGATCAGCTGCTACACCAGTGGCGACCCCTAAAGCCAAAAATGCCACCGTAAATTCTGCTACTAAAGTTTACAAGATGTACTTATACTCATGTATAAAGTAAAGGATGAGATGGCACCTAGTAATATCTGTGACCTGTTCCAAAGAAGCAATAAGAGATACAACTTGGGAAATTCAGATTCTGAATTAAGACGTTTTAAAACAGTTAAATTTGAGAGGTATCTACAAGTGCCTGATCAGGGTAGTTACAATGTCAATCAGAAAGTTCTCCACCATACTCTTAATTAGTCATGTCTGAACTTCAAACAGTCATCAAAAAGGTTGAAGTGGTTCTCAATGATAGTCCAATTACATTGGTCTACCATGATGTGAATGATCTAGAACCCTTGACACCCTCCATATTGCTTTAAGGCTTTGATGTGGCTGCTCTGCCACACCCTGTTGTTGATCCAGTGGAGTTGGAGGATGAAGACTTCAATGAATGCAATCATCTCACCAAGGTTATGCTTGTTGCTGTCTCACCACTTTATTCAAGGTGTCAAGACTGAATACCTTGCCTCACTGCAAGAGCACCATGTATATGAGTCAAAGAAACCAGCTTTTCAAGAGGGGATCATCAATATCAGAAATGTTGTACTGATACATGATGACAACATCACAAAGTTCATGGAAGTTGGGAATTGTAAGAAAGGTTTTTCATGACTGTCAGGACTAAGTCAGAGCTACAGATAATGAAATAAGCTCTGGTGTCACTAACCACTCAATCTGCCTTTTATACCCCTTGGAAATCACACCAGCAGATCTAAAGAAACCTTACACAGGAACTGAACAACAGATTCCATGGGCAGAAATGCTCACAAGAAGCAAACAAATTGCTGCTTGCCCCCAGTATGTGAAACTACTTACCAACCTTTAAGCCTGGAATTAGGCCGAACTGCGTTTTACCATACAGCCCATGCATAGATTCATCGAAACACATTAGAGGGATTGCCATGTTGTAACTTGTTGTGCTTGCTGTTTCAGACATCAATTAAGTTTTGCTGTTACTTGTTAATACTCACAAATTCTGCATGGTGATTATTTAGACATTAAAATTGATTCCACAGCCCAAGCCTCCAGACATTTAGAATTTTTTTACCATTGGTGTGATCAACTGTGCTTCGTTGTTCTGAGACATATAAGTGGCTTGAGAGACATCTGACTTTACAAACAAGGTTTAATTATCTGTACATCAACATTATAAATTCTCTTCACTTCGACTACATTGTAATTTGCTGCAAATACAACAGTTCTCTGGTTAAATAGCAGTGTGCAAGGTAATCCTAAGTCTAAGAAATCAAATACTTACACAATTATGGACCCACAAGGTACGTGTTAATACAACCACTTGGACAGGAGCTGGCTTTCAACAGATTCAACATGGCAGGCCTTATTTCATACCAAGCTAATGGCTGCTGAGCACTTAAGTCGCAGGGTTACAAGGGTTTTTGGGAACATACTCAAAGATTACCAAGGGGGCCATAGCAAAATATAACAACATTCTATGACAGATTCAACATGGCAGGTCCTATTTCGTACCAAGCTAATGGCTCCTGAGCACTTATGGGAGCTGTTGCAGGGTTGCAGGGTTGCAGGGTTGCAAGGGTTTGTAGGAGTGTACTCAAAGATTACCAAAAGGGCCATAGAAAAATATAACAACATTCTGCCCCCCATAGACTCCTGGGCTTACAAGTTCATATGTAAAACAACATTTTATTAGATTCTAAATGTCCTTAACTTGCAAGCATGTTTAATATCGACTCTACTACTCTTTTTGTTGTCCTCTCTTTCCAACAGGCACAGCTTGGTCACTGGTTGCTTGAATGTAGTCCCCTTTGCCCATACTTCTGCACTCCACCTCAAGGCCGTTTGCTCCTGTAAACGTGTTCTCAACTCAGCCCAGAACCCAATGATTCCTGGTCACCTTGTCATCTGCAATCAGCACAACATCTCCAATTTCAAGGTTCCTGTGTTCTGTGTTCATGTTGCCACTTAGGTCTCTCCTGCAGCGATGGTATATAATCCTTTAACAAAGGTTTCCAGTAGTGGTTGGCTAATAGCTGAACCTGTCACCACCTTTTTCAGCTAAACTTATCCCTTTCATAAACCAAGTCTGGTAAAATGTTCAATGAGGGGGCACATTCAGGAAATGACTTAGTGATGACACTTCATTTTCATCAGGGCTTAAGGGGTTTGGTGTCAGTGGCCTGGAGTTTGCATTCTGTTCAGCTTCTGTAAACACCGTGGACAGGACCTCCTCATTCATTTGGCCATTTCCAAGAATAGCCTTCAGGCCTGTCTTGATAGCTTGGACAAGCCTCTCCTACACTCCTGAGATGCACCTGGGGGATGAAAAACACACTTACACCCTCTCTGCACAGCCTCTCTTTCCAGCTTGCTGTGGTCCATCTTCTTCACTGAGCGCTGTATTTCTTCGTTAGCCCCAACAAAGTTGGTCCCATTGTTGGAACGGATCTCCTTAACAGTTCAGGAATCGTATCAGAACATGAACTTGTTGGTTTCAAGAGACTTTACCAATTCGAGGTGAAAATCTCTGGAATACATACAAACAAAGATCGCTCCTCAACGTTTCTCAATCACTAGCCCTCTCCCTCGCTTCACAGTGAACAGTCCAAAATAATTCATGATGCAAAAGGTAAAAGGCAACTCACAAGGATTTTTAACCGTACTTTGAGTACCATTTGTTGATTTATCTTGAGTGCCATCTACTTCTTCCAGTGGATGCATGATCTTATGATTTTCTTGATTGCTACTCTAGTCGTGACAATCCAGAACTGCTCCCTAACCAGTGACAGCACCTGTTTGAATCCACAATGTCCACTGACCTCATGGATATTTTGTATCAGGATGGCACTAATTTGGTGTTTTTGTGGCAGTATCACCGGTTTTGTTGCATCAGTGGAAATCTAGGCCAGTGATATCCTTCTGCCTACATCCATGACTTCATGTCCCATTATGATTGGTTTGAGCTTGATTATTTTGCTGGAAGCTTTCACTTGCTTTCCTTCTTACAGGCTTTCACTTCTGTAGGGAAACTACTCTTCTGGACAACTACACAATCTTTCAACTTTTCTTTTCAGAATATTTCCTTTTCCGAAGGGTTCAACCTTTATCACAGGGGTTGGACTGAAATGGTATTAAGTCTGCAGGTTGAGGATTTAAGGGCTTCATATCACAACTTGCAGACCACCGCTCAATTTTTGTCTTTTTCAGTTTGATTGCTAGCTGTTTCACTAACATCTTGCTCCAAAAACTCTTCATCTTTCTCTGCCAATTGTAACCAAAACTTTATTTCACTAGCCCTCCTTTTGCTTTCAAATTTTATTTAAATATTGTTCTCTTCTCCATTTCCAGTCCATACTGAGCTAGTTCTTGCTCCTGCTTGAGGAGAAATTTCTTCATTTCAAATTCTTTTTCGATTCTTTTAGCTTGGATGGCCTGGAAGGGGGTATTGATTTAACATGCTTAAACTTCCCTTGTGTATTCTTTTGGCCCTTTAATTGATGTAAATGGTCTTTGATTGTGGTTTTGCATTCTGCATTGTATCGAGTTTGTGCCTCAGTATATCCATCTTTGACCAGTGTCATACTCTCCTTTGGGCAGGCCTTTTATGACATATGTCTTATCTTATGACTCTCTTTGTTGCGTACTCTTTCTAGCAGGCACAGCTTGGTCAATGGTCACTTTGCCTGTACTTACATGCTCCTTGCCAGGCCGTCTGGTCCAAAATGAAATGATTCCCAGTCATGTTATCATCAGCAATCAGCACAACATGTCCAATTTGAAGATTCCTTAGCTCCTTTGTTCATGCTGCCACTTAGGTCTCTCCTGCAGCAATGGTATTTAATCCTTTGACTAAAGTTTCCAGTAGTGGTTGGTGAGTAGCTGAGCCTGTCACCACCTCTGTCAGCTAAACTTGTCCTTTTTGTCAACTCAGGTACTCAAAACACCAGCTGAATATGAAATTAAGAAGGTTTTTGCAAGTCCAGAGGTAAAAAGTACTCATTACAAGACTAAGAGTGACTTCAAAGCCTGTAAGAAATTTTGTTAGTCAATCGAAGAAACTAGAGAAATTGAAAACATACGTGTGAGTGAGTTCGACCTTCTTCTGACCAAATTTCTCACTCTAATTCCCAAGCAAAACGGCAGAGACTAAGAATAGGCTACATTAAGCGACTTTCAGCAAATTGAAGTTTTCTTGTTTGACCATAAAATAAACATCGTCGTTTTCTTTTAGGAGAATCTTGACCTTGGTCGTGATTAAAGACCGAGATGCAGTGAACCATCATTGATAAAATGAGTGTGAAAGTATGTGGTTACATTTAAGCCACATTTAAGTTTAAATTAAAGATACATTAAATCTAGAGGTAGATTTAAGTCAAGTTTAAGCCCCTATTTTTTCATACTTAAATTCATGGAAAGATTTAACCCCATTTAAGTCTTGTTTAAGCTGTCATTAAATGTATTGAAAGATTTAGGTCTTGTTTAAGTCGTCTTAAATGTATTATTAAATATATCAATAGATTTAGGGGCAGTTTAAGGCTACTTAATTATAAAATTAAACCTACTGAGACATTTTATATTTAGTTCAAGCCATGTAAANTTGTGGTCATAATTAAGTTGTTAACCCCAAAGCATATATTTGTAGCACATAATTCAGTTGTTTACCCCAAAGGAAACTCGGGAAGCTACCATTATAATTTATGAACAAAGACTTTGATTTTTTGATTAATTGTGATAAAGGAAAATAGAGTTCACTGTACAGCTCAAGCATGTTAAGGCATCACTTTTCCCTTTGCCAAGACCCCCTGCAAAGTTTGACCTCTTTGCTGTAGAGACAATGCTGTCATTTGCGCAGCCATACCAAATGTAAATAGCAACATCAGTTTAGCTTTCTTAAATTGCTGTGGTCATGATTGTGTCGAATGATGTCATAATTTTGGCAAAAAACAAACAAACAAACAAACAAACAAAAACAAACAAAAACACTTAAATAGGGGCAAGTTATTATTTCCCTTCATGCAAATAATATATTTTTGTCTGGAATGGACAGAATTTTTATTCCATTAGCAGATATTAAACGACAAATTATATTACATGACCTGTTTTGCTCATTATCTGTTAAGCTGTAAATTCTTGTCAAACTTTCTGGCCAGATCGTAAAAGGGACAACCATATAATCAAAGTAATGGCATTAAATGCCATTTCAGCACCCCATTTTCTCAGTTGTTCTAATCCAATCAAATAGAGATAACAGGTCATGTGACCTAACTATCTAGAACTTAATGCAAAAAATAAGGTAAGGTCATTATGTTTCATATCATTGTCAAGTCTGAGGGTGCTTTTGTAAATCCCTGAAAAGTTATGAATGCTTTCAGATTTTACGCAATGTAAGGCTCTGAGCCATGCCTTTAACATTCTTGAGAGTAGTTGCCTGGACGAGTTGAGTGAGTCTTCACTCTCTCTGTGTGCAATGGTGAACCAAAAGGCAGCTCTTAGCTTCAGTAACATTTTAACAATAACAAATATTAGGCCATGCTCACTGCCGTTCCACATCTCTACAAGAATATCTACCAGAGGGAGAGACCAAGGGAAGTTACATGCTTGGAGCCAGTTTCCCTTTTAAAATTGTATATGGTGCCCTTAATTATAAGATACCTAAGGTTACCTGGCCATTTCCAATGCCCCTGATCAATATCCTTATGAAAAAACATTACATGCTATGCAAATGATAAATGTGAGCCAATGAAACATATTCTTGAGGTATCATGTGACTCATGTCATCAAAGTAACTTTCAAATGTTAGATATTAATTTATGGTAGTGTTATTTACACATGGGCTAGCACCCTCGTGGACTTCACAATGGCAAAGTTATTTGGTATTCAAAATTTGCAGGTAGAAAGTGTACTGGGAAGACTTTATTATATATCATTCGTATTACCACTACAATTCTTAGCATAAGTCAACTACATACCTTATGGCAAATCTTTGCACATTTGTGCCCACAGCTCAATTGCTTTCCACAGGTCTTTCCACATGACACATCAGTAACATGACACGGAATGTTGTAGCGAACCTTAAAGATAAAGAAGCGACAATGGGAATTAAATCTATTAGAGCCACAATGCTGCAGATAATTCACTGTTCCAAAATTTTTAGAAGAGCACTCTCTACTCAGAACTCAGAACTGCTAGTCACAGCAGCAAGGAGATTCATGGTATATTTTATTTTGATGCAGTCTAAACAACTCAGAGGGTCTGGCTTCACACAAATTCTTTTCCTTCCTCAGTCAGAAGACTGCAAATTTTCTAGGTTCCCTCATGGCAAACAGGCCTTTCCTAAATGCCATAAAACACTTCGATGTGCAGGTTTAGCATTGCATGGATGTAACAACTGTTTAAATCTCATTGTTTTAGTGGCATAATGGTATCTAGTATACAGCATGGTGGAAACGTAATGCAAAAAAATTGTTGCCAAATTAATTTTTGGTCTTGGACAAAATATTGATAAGGTTTCACCAAAAATCTGAAAACCCTCGATGTCTGTTAAACCGGAAACTTGGTGAAATTTTGTGGAAGGAACCAATTAAAGTTTCAAAGTACATGTAGTGACAATTCCTGAAAAGGCAATCGAGAGAAACAAAACAAAACAAAAAAAAAAACAAAGAAACATGTTTATGCAGTTAAAGGTAGACATCTTGTTATGCCTCATATGCAGCAAATGGCCAAGTGCTCTTTCTAGCTTCCTAGTCCTAGTGCTTAGCTAGGTAAATGAATTTCAACAAGATGGGTTGATTTGACAATAACTTATCAATCTCGGCATGTTGGCATAAGCGATGAAAATAAAGAAGACAACAACACCTTCCTTACCCATAATCAATTTTTTTTGTTACAATACCTGCCTAATTTCTCGTGTACTCATTGGCTCATTTTTATCATCAGTAAGAGTACAGACGGATAAATTTTAATTTATGCAAGCTTTCAAGTTCAATTTTCAGCTGTCAAACTGTCAACTTTTTAACCAATGAGGTTTTATGCATTTTTTTAAGTAGCCAATCAAAAACGGAGAAAAGCTATTGACAATGTTCGCGTCATTTTGAATAAAATTTACTTATCTTTGTTTATGGCAAGTTTATGGCATCTTTTACCCTCATTTATTCCTACCATTTTGGGGTCTTGTTATTGTAAAAAACAAATTGATGTCAGTTTTTTATGCGACTGTCCTCTTACTGATGATAAATTTCGTGACATTATCCTGCAATTCCTTCAGTGAAATTTAAAATTTGGCAAACTGGTTGGAGTGATTTTCAGGGAAATCTATCTGAAATTTCTCTGCAGCAGGGAAAGACATAAATTTGCAAAAATAAAAAATTCCAGTACAGACCCTTCTTTTTTGAGTTTAAAATTTGTATCCTGTTAGATTCGATGTAATGTGGAAACTTTGGAAGATTTCACCAAAGGAAATTAAAAAAATCACAAAAGAATGCCATATAAATCATGAAAAATGCATTTGTTTGGGCATTTATAATTCACCACTAAAAGCCATGATTTCAAAAGAGATGACTGTAACACACTTTTTAATCATTGCTATTATGTACATTTGACATGTTTGGGCAAACTGGGTATAACTGGTGAGACAATCTCAGAAAGTGCAGTGTGTAATTGATAGCTCTGGCACATATTCACACCTCGGGTACCATGTACTCACTCCTGCTTGGTTCACTTCCGGTTTGTATTTACCTTGGTAGTCTGCTAGGGCCTTTCCCCTTACAGAATATGAATGGACACAAACCTTGATAAGACATAATCTTAGCAGTGTGTATGTTTCATGGTTGTATTTTCATTTGAGGTCCAAAAATTACTTACAATTACTGTTTGTCACCACAGCCTTTAAATTTTACTCTGGTGTTTTACGTTGATTTTCGTTCATTTTAAATTCAATAAAACGTTGAAGCAGCAAACGTGACAATTTAGCTTTTCATGCCAACTTTGTAACTTGATACTCTTGTTTACATTGCGAAGGTATGTAAAATGAAACTCTTGTTTTCTCCAAAACACACTGAAGATGTGCTTGTTTTTTTTTTCACCACTGGAGATAAATAAAGTTATATATCTGATGAAGAAATGGAAGAGAAACAATTTTGTTTCACTCAAAATGCAAATTTTCTTTTTACTGATCAGCAAGAACTAATTTAATCATCAGTACTACTTTCTTTTTCTGTTGCTACCTTTGTTGTTAACAATAAAACAATTCAAAATCAATACACAAAGATATCAATTGATACAACTGAGAAACGTTTCAGTGAGAAGTACTGAAGGTAAACAGCACTACTTGGCCAATATTGTATCCTGCATTGGTGAAAGAGTCTCCTCAAAGACTGCTTAAATTAATTTGCACTATTATTAGGTGCCACAGAGTCTGCAGCAATATTTGAGCACTTCACTGGTATCTTTTGTCACAAATTTACAATTAGTTTTTGAAGAGTATTAAAGCCACTAAATCATGTGCAATTAAGGCAAGAAATAAAAAAAGCTGCTAAGGAGAAGCAATGCATTTACCTTTTTTATTTCAACCCTGACAAACACACAATTGTAGTTTGAAAACAGATGATATTTGTTGAACCAACCTATGAGTAATTCTAAAAGATACGCAGCCACAGTAATGTTTCGGTTTTGCATTAAAAAGGGAGAAGTGGCACTACCTGAAAAATAACTGCCGTCCTCAGTCACATTGCATGACAAATAAAAAAACATGTGGAAACATAGTGGATAACCTGCACTAACGATGCTAGAAATAATGCATGTGTCTTACATGTTGGATTCTCCCATAAGGAAAACCACTCAACATTTGTGAGTGATCCCATATGCAATGTACCCTCCACCTTATATACAGCAGACACGAATGTTAACTATTCTGCATTTGCATTTAGAGCAAATTGGTTTTGTTCTTATGAGGATAGTACCACAAGGTGAGCGAGAGGTTATCTGAAACAAATATAGAGCTTTGTGATGTTCACACTCAACTGGCATAGGTGGAACTTGTTTTATGTAGAGTACACAAGAAACTACTACAAAACTAGAAAAACAACATGTTTTCTGATCTATTGAGATCTATTGATCTTTGTGGTCCTTTCCATATGGGATTTTCAGATCCCATAATATGCAACCTTAGGTCAGGCCCCGTTCCTCTTGTCCTATTCACTACACACTCCCCTCCAACAAAAATGTTGTCCCAACATTACAACATTAAATACTGACAAACAAAAAGACTGGTTAGGAGGCAAAAGAGATGGAATGGATCCTGTAGGCAGACATCAATGGCAAATTAGTCTTCCCTTCAATTGAAATATGCTCTTTTTTAAGTGTGGATGATCCTGTCCCAAGAGGGCTTTGTTCAGGCATCATGTATAAATGTTCTTGTGTTGCAGGCTGTAGTGTCTGCTATGTTGGAGAAACTACCCAACACTTCTCCACACATGGCTGTGAACACCTAACTACAGATGAGAACTCACACATCATTAAACATCTGCAGGATTCTGAACATTACCATGCCTCAAGTTCCAGCAATGGCTATTAAATTCATGTGATTGATCAAGCACTACATTCCAGCTCAAGATCAAAGGCTCCTTTGAGCTACCTCATGGTATGTGGTAATTATTCTATGAAGTGCTGTCCTTTGCCTCTCTTGGAACTAATATGCGTTCCATTTGTAATGTGCATCATGTTAATAAGCAGCCATTAGTTGAGCATGCATGTTTATAGAAATAAGGTCTTCATCTAATATATATAACATTTTCACAGGAAACATAATCCTTCAGTGTCTTTTTCTCTGTTTGGATTATGGACATCAGCATGTGCAAATATTGTTTTGACAATTTGTGACAATTTCATTAGTTTGCACATCAGCACTGGATGTGCTAGGGTTTTGAACAAACTCACCCCACTCTTCATTGGCGTTTGATTGTGCGGTTGTGCCATCTACCCATGAATTTTGCACTTTTATGCCTTCAGTTTTAAATAATTCACCGGTGTCTACAAGATATTTGGCTGCATCTAATACTTTCTTAGGTCTGACATTCTGAAACTGACAGTGATGCTTGTAACCAAGTCGCCTTTTAAGTTTCATTGGAATGGTCTGTGATTCACTTATTGGCCTTGGGAGACAATGAACAGTGGAATTTACATCACTCGGCACATTGACAATGTGTCCATGAATAGACAATTGACCACCCCTAGGTACATGTAGTTCACAGATTTGCATAAAAGGTCAGTACAAGGTGATATTAGTTGCTCTTCTAGTGATGTGAAGTTCAGTACATTAGGCTTTTAAGGAAAACCTGTCTTATTGGCTTTAGAACAGCTGGGTAACCTACCTTGTTTTAGACCTTTTTTATTGCAAGTTAGACAATTGCCTTTTTATACTTTTTTTAGACTTTTTTCATTGCAAGTCATGCAGATCCATTCAGTGTTGTTGACACTTTTAAAACCAGTAAGACAGGACTCAACAATGTCTAGTGAACATGCCCTATATTTGTTTGGATCACATTTCATTACAGAGCACTTGAACCACATTATTGGTCACAACAAGTGCATACATATTCTGGGCCACATGCAATGTTTTTGTAAAACAAATTTATCACATAAATTGCATCACATTTGTTTTCTTGTGGCTGCAACTCATGACTGCTGCATGTTAGTTGCGATACACTTGCCAGAGCCTCAGCCTTTTGTCTTTTTCTTACCAACTGTTTGGTTATTTGCCTTATGTGCTACAGGTTCTCTGCTTTTCGTTTTCTGATGGAGCGCCGCTCAATTTCTCTGACATATTCTGGGTTCAATTTTCTTCTTTTAGTAGCCTGGTGTTTCTTGTTCCTAGATGTTTTGCTATTAATGTTGCAGCCTTGTACTCGTGTTTGATTCTCATTTATTCTAAAGTTATCATCAGCTCTTCTGTCTTTCATGTATTCTCTCTGATGTATTTTCTTCGGTAAGCTTTACGTTTTTCACTGTCATCAACTGGTTTGTTTTCTTCTGCCTTTTTTGTTTGTTTGCTGTTGTCTCTAATCTCCATTGTTCTGTTTTCTACTATCATAATGGAAACACAATGAAAATCATCTAGGTGTCCAATGTAAATGTTTAGGGCATTTGTAACATTCACTGGTTCAACAACAGTAACTGGAGAAAAAGGTGGATTTGATTCAGCAATATGAATTGATAAATTAAGACAATTGGCAACAGCTTGAACTATGATAGCATCAGCCCATGTTCCTTGACTAAATACTGAATACCAACAATGTGCACATAGAAATGGCTATTAGGATTTCCATAGGGTTGATGTGATACAGCCCTAAAAAGCAGTCACCTCCTCCAACATCCAGTACAGTTCTGCCTAACTTGGACAATCTGAATTCTAATAAACAGACAGAATTTGTGGGTGATATAAAAGGTACTCATTTGCAGGACCAGGATTTGACTCCAAAGTTCTAATCAGTGATATGATTCTGCTCAAAAAATGATACATTTTCACTTAATTTTCTGAAAATATTACCTCCAGCTATCATACAAAACAAAGGCAAGTTTTTATGCTTTGGAGTCCTTGTTTGAAAAATACACAAACTTAAACTTTGTCTAATGAAATACTTCTTCGAGAAAATCATGAATTTTGAACTTCTATATCACTCTAAGAAATGACAACGATGGTATCCACACAACATAGCCTTCAGCTTGGAGGATTTTGTGACATTAATTTCTTTATGTATAATTTCACCGACATTTCTGTTTTTGTTTTTGTTTTTGTTTTTTGTCTTTTTTTTCTGCCATTAGAAAGTCTGATAACCATTTTGTAAGAAATTCTGGAGGGTTCTCTTTCACATGTCATTCTAAACTGAGGATGGGAGACAATGGTAGGTCTAGAATTCTGTACATTCACATTTTTACCTGCATTTCTGTACTGACAATTACTTGATAACTGAACTGGTATTTTATTTTGATTTTCAAACTGCTTGGGTATTATAGGATTACCTTCTATAATCATTTGCTCCTGACCTTGGTGTAGGTATTCAGGTAACAGATCATCTGTTTGGCATTTGTTTGTTGTTTGATATTTTGTATTTGTTATGGTATTCGTTATTTGGTGTATATTGTATTTAGCATTTGTTTGGCAGTTGTGTTCAATCTCTATAGCTTAACACAGTGGTGGCATTTAAGTCTCAGCGAGGGGAACTTGACGAAAGCTTCATCGATGTCCTTTGTCATGTGACATTTTGCAAACAGCTTCCTAGCAAATTGCAAAATATTGAAAGCGCATTTAATTTTAAATCATACGTCCTGCGAGTATTTTTAGAAATTCAAAATGCAATACAGTAGAAGGAGGGCAGCTTACCTTTTTCCCCAGACCATAAAGCATTCATTCCGAATAGTTGGTTTTGTGCATTCGATTCCTCATCGTCCAAATGTATCTTGGAGACATCGTAACTTTTAAGACTTTAAAACCCATTTATTTCCACTCTAGCTTTCTTGACCACATTTGCTGTTCGTTTGTGAGGTCTTCAAAAGTGTATTTTGATCAAAGATGGAACGAAAGGAAGGAAAATTCTCCTTGACAATTTTTGCATCGGGCTCGACACAACAGACGCCATTTTGTAGACATGTACTACTGCCTTTGTACCACCCCTCCCCCCACATATATGAACATAAAGTAATGACACGACTTTGTGGACAAAACCAAACCTAGTATGGGAGACAGGGGGAAACGTGTTTAATTCATGTTTAATGCAGATTTAATGCATAAATTAATTGTCTAACGGGAATGGAGTGACCAATCCAACCATCACTATACCTCATGGTATGACATACATACCATGAGGTAATAAAAGGTGCTTTGCACATCCTGTGGGAAAACCCTTCCCTTAATCAAAATCTTCAACCATCAATAATTGATTAAACTTTTTAAGCCTATGTATGTAATCTGCACTTGGTTGTGTAGTTGAATATGTTGAATTTGCCATTTGAGAAACCAGTTGAAATCCTAGTGCAAGAACTGGTATGTGATTTTAGTAATCTACTGTGGGCAATGTACAGTAACAGTATAACAGTGTAGGATTACCTCATGGTCTCCCATGCACTTTCTCTTGGTTAAAGTGGTGCAAGGAGGACATATATCCTCATTGTGGCAACTATGATTCACTGTTGGTTTAAAAATAAAATGTCAGTTAGAATTTATATCAGAGGAAAGAGACCAACTTAATTATACACATAGCAATTTAATTACTCTAAAGAGCCCCGATTGTCCAAAAATTAGAATAACTATAAGGATAAGCAATTAGCAAAAACAAAAGAAAACAGAGAAGAGCAACATGTGGAGAAATGCCACCGTTCAGTTTTTGCTTGTTAATTATGTTCCCGGACATGAAAACCTGGCATATTCACATAAGTGTATGTTGGTCTTTCTGTAATATTAATTTTCACAACCAACAACTGAGGGTTACCCAATTACAACCATAGTGAGTCAAGTTGTCTAATTCTGTAGTTGACTTGAATAAATGGAAGTTACGTTGTGAAGAACAGAATCTCGATGCCCAACGTTGTAGTGTACTCTTCTAACCAGAAGTTAGGCATATAAAGAGGAAGTCAGTCTTAATTAAGTTAGTTTTAGGCAAAGTAATGGAGAGTGTAAAATGTCATCACGTGGCAATGAGTCAAAACAAGTTTACGGTACTTGACTCGTTGAGTTGTCACAGTGTAAGGTAGCAAAAATTCTTCTTGTACATGAAGTTGGATTAATGTCTTGCCATTTGACGTTGGAGTCTACACAGGCCAAAACTCATAGCATGAAGTTTTCTGTATGCATTTTTGGCTTTATCTTGAATGATAATCAATCTTAAATGAATTTTCTTTAACATTTCTTTCATTTGGCCATCTTGCATTGCCAGTTTCATCCTTTAAAAGTGAACAGGACTTGCTATATAACACTTGCATGTAGTGATTTATATACACTATTTCCTCATTTTGTTTGTTCGATTCATTTGGTTTGGTAAAATTCTTCTTGGTGAATTCAGCACTTGAAGCTGCCACCATTTTGGTCACCATGGCGAGTGAGAAAACTTTTGGTGACTAAATTTTACATACAGATTGTCAGTTTCGTGACTATTGCAGTACAATAGGCTGAATGCTCAATAACAAGGTTTTTTGTGGTACAATCACTAAAGCAGACAAATTTAACCACAATTTTTGCATGTTTGTCTTTACCTGTTTCTTTTTGTTAATTTAATTTCCTGAACAGTAGTTAAGACTGTTCAACAACAAAAAGTGTTGCAAAAGAAAACGAATAGTGTCAGAATGTTCTTCAACAATTTCAATTTGAGTTTGTCATCGTCAGCAGTATTAGCTTCATGTTAAGTGACACAAAGTGTGCTTCTTTGAAAAAGCTTAGATTTAGTGACCACTAATTTGTCTTACTGGTGACCATTTTACAGCAAGGTCACCAAAAGGCAATTTCTGAAAACTCGAGCTTGGAGTGCTGGAATTGCTTCAAAAGTTATTGTGTCAAGTAAATGATTAGCATTTTATGGGAGCTCTGCTTTTAGGCTTGCATTTGGCTAAATCTGTATAAGTATATGTAATCGTATGGGCCCGAGTGCAGTTAAGGATTAATTCCACATGTATTTTCAGAGTTTTCACAAGATTGCCTGAGTCACAAAGTGACAAGGGCAATTTGGAAACCTTTGAAAATACAAGTGAAATTAATCCTGAATTGTTTGAGGGCACTTGCGATTACTTGTTTATCACATAACGGGCAAAATTCTGTACAAAGGAAAACTTTCAATGTTTTGCTGTCGCATAAACAGGTTTGCCGTTTGTTATGAAAGAATAGGCTAGCAGTAGAATGTGGAGAGCCTACTATAATAGTAAGCAAACCACAGCAAGTTTAATTACTCAAAGCAACTTCTACTGCGTGACACTACTTCATCAATTGATGAAAGACATAAACAAGTGTCCAAACGAGCTCTAGTAGCTTCTTGAATCCAAAACTCTCCCCTCCAACACAACAACTTAACATACCAACAACATTTATGCTGTTTTTTACGCTGATGAGGCGAACCAAAGCAAAACAAAGAAATTAACTTTCAGTTTGGCAGCTATGCTTCGTGTTACACCAGCTGTCCCCACTCAAACTTTTTTCAGGTTGCGAATTAATACATTTTTGGATGGAAAAATCCTTTTGCTTTTCCACCAAAAGACTGCACTTTGCTGCATGTCGATTTTCTTTCATATTAAGATGAAATAACTGCATTTAAAACTCAGAAGCGATGCGTTTCCGAAATTCCTTTTCAAAATCTGTTTGAAGTGGGAAAACAGTTTAATGCAGGCGTGCTCAGCCAATCAGCATCAAGTAATCATGCCCTCTTGATTACCAAAAGTACTGTTGTGATTGAGAAAAAAATGCCCTTTGTCTCAGTCAATCAGCATTCAGTAATTTTGCCCTGTATGTGATAAATAATTATATGGTTCCACACAGTAAAATGGTGTGAGTTAACAGTTTAATTTATTAATCTGCTTAAAGTGGGTCAGAAAAAAACGAAATGAAAGGGGCCCTTTGATGTGATTTTTGTGGGATTATGCAATTATTGCATAATTCCATATTGTCGGCGATTATCTTGAGGGTTTGAGGATCGATGAAACCTGAGAATCTCTCCCTCGATGAGAGTTCATAGTTGATGAAGATCTTGAAAACTTGAGACGTAATTGGATCGTCACATTTACAAAGCAGGAGACAAGATGATATTTGAAAAGTAAACTGCCTTTGCTTCCAGTCAAATCCCAGCAGACCGCTCCAAAAGACTGAGGAACACAGGTAAATAACAGTACATTTATTTTACATGAATGTAAATGATAATGTTATTGCTGATACAGTGCTTGGGTCCCCTGTGCTTTGTGCGACCGAGACGATTTTCAGGAACGCAAACGGTTTTCAGCGCAAAAGGGTTTCAAACCAGAATGAGTTTCTTGGCCATGACCACGCACGCATGTCTAGTGCACCTTGCCTTTTGAAGAGCAATTTGAAGCATAATCAATTGCATTTCCCTTGCTTTCTTGAGGTGCTGAGAAAGTAAGTGCCACTGAAATCTTGACTCCTGAGTTTGCTGCTCAAGAACAAGAAAATAAACTTGAGGACTACAAGAGCCAAAGCTTCTCTTTTGAACACAGGGATTTTATGCATGGACTTTAGAATTTGCAGCCAATTTGATTTGATCGTGATTTATGACAGGTTTAAGGTTACTATGCACCTTCAGGGGGTGCCCTTCGGAAAAATTCGTATGTATACCAGTTTCAATACAACCCTAACAAACAATATATCAGAAGAAAGCTTAAAATATAAAATTTACGATAACAATACAATTTAAGCAAGGTTTAATTTTAGGAGGGTTCAGGAGCCGGTAAGGCATGAAACGACCGAGGGTTCTTCTATTGAATCTATCGTTTTTTTTTTGCAACATGAGCAAAATGGCTGCACAGTCTTATTCACAAGGCATCAATCAACAAAAGCATGTCAGGCTTTTTCGATATTCTGATTTGTTGTCCAAATATTCGCATCTTAAGTTGGAGAAGCTTAAAATATGCGAGATGTGTTTCATAAATGGACACCACAGGAAAAACAATTTTATGTTACATATCAAAATTTCCCAACACAGTTTTGTTTGTCATTATCCCTGGAATGTTTTGGAAAAATTTCATGAAAATCTGTTAAATCCGCACACCCTATAAATTCGCTCAAAGTGGATGTATTCCTCCCAGAATCAAACGTGAGATTTTAGCGGCTGTCGATAAAACCAGGAATATGGAACATTCTGGAACATCAGGAAATTAGAGTAATTATATGAGAAAAATATATAAAATTAAAAAAGGAATAACCTAGAAAGACAAATAAGTAAAAGCAATAAATAAGAAAAATTAACTGGTTTCAGCTTAGAATAAACAAAAAAAGAATTAAAAAATGCGAATGGCTGCAATGAGTGACGCCTCATTAGTTTTAGCGATGTCTGGAGGGAATGGACAGGCTATATATCTCTGCTAATCTATTCCTGCCAGTTGTTCAGGATTAGTTTTTAGTGTAGTTGAAGAGGTCGATTACCCCTGTATTGTTTTGTTCATGGGGAGTGGAAACTGGGGAGAGTAACTGTCCCCAGAGTAGGGACTGCTGTACTCTTCCCATATTTCTTTCATTCATAGAAACTCTTCAAGTAGACCAAAAAATATGGGACTGCAAACAGTCTACGTAAGTTTCTGATTTCTTTATTGAATTCACTGCGTCAAAGACAAGCCTAAACACAAGTTCCCATGGTTTTACATGGCGTATAGTTTCTTGTCTAAACTAATTCGAAGTACTTGAGCACTGATGATTTATTGACTTGCTAGATGGAATTTGCTTGTTTTACACACGATACATTTTTCTACACGATAAATTTACTTGCATTGTAAACCTTCAGATCCTGTTGAAGGGGTGATTTAAAGAAAGGGAAAGACTTATTTTCTCCCACTCAAACCACCATTTAAAATACGCTGAACGACAAGTTATCACACTCTATTGCCTGTAAACATGAACATTTAGGGGCAATTAAACTGGACCAGGAACACCAGTTTATTTATTTTTTTAATTATTATTTTTTTCATTGATTATCAGTTTTGGTTATTTCTATGTTTCTATGTTTAATTATTACAATTTTCTAATGTTCTGGGATGTTCTGGAATGTTCCATGTCCCTGCTTTTATTGATGGCCGATTTTAGCTTGTAAAGGTTTGTAAACAACTTGTGCCTTGCCAGGAGATTATCTCGCCTTATGAAACCGCAAACCAATGGAACAACAGCACCTCTTAGCATCAATGACAATGGATCAGGATTTCCCTGGATAAGCATTGCATTGCAACATGTTTTGCATCTCACTGCTGCAGTGAAGAGAAAGACAATAAAACGGGCAAAGTAGCCTAAGGCAAAACAACAACCTGTGGTAAGGCAAGCAAAGCCAGCAAATTTACTGACAAGCACTATACCTAATCAAAGTACAGACAGCTCAGGCAGAACCTTTGTGGCTTTCAGTAAGGTGTTTTTGTTTTCTTTCCTACACAGAAATGGGTCTTTTCTTTCTTCTTTGGGCTTGTTTGTTTCTTTTCCTTGGTCCAAGGACGGTTTTCTGTTATGAATTTTCCACTTGAGAGCAAGTGTGTGATGTAAACAATACCAAATGACATGAAATACAAGCTCCACGATGAGCGTTTGCCACGAAAATTCCCCTGGCGGTTTCATCCATTTACGTGTATGAGATTATGACACCTTGATTTTTTAACTTCATTTGAAAATATTTTCTTAATAACTCAGCTGCTTTTTGAGATTTTTTATATATAACATTAAATAAAATGATTAGACTTCAATTTTGACAAAATAAAAAAAAAAAAAAAAACGATTTTCTGTGCCTTTCAAGGTGGGAAGTAACCTTAACAGAATCGAATGCTGCACAAAATCTTCCTTTAAACAAATCATTTGTCTGCACAGGCTAATAGCACAAGGTATACACTGCATTTGTAGTTTGATTTCCACAAGGTTTCACAGCTTAAAATGTATCACTTGTCTGCACGAGGAACACACTGTATGGGTATATAGATTGATTTTCCAAGAGTAAAATTATTTTATGTAAAAGACCTGCACATGTTTATAGAATGAGGCTGAGTTGAAATGTCAAGTTGTGACAGCTCGATGACATTTCCAGCCCCCATTTTTTCAGGCACTAGTATCATTAGTTAAGTGAACTTCTTGAAGGAATGAGCTGTGCTGAGTCCTGTCAAGTTGTGACGACTCCACACATCTTAACAACATTTACCATTCACGATAAAACTTTGGGTGATCAGTGTAGTCCAAATTCCTATGGGGAATGTCAACTTCTGGTAAGGATAGCTTCATGAATTTCATGACAGGACTTCTGCTAAGATGACTCATCTATACATACAAATGACTGGACTCACTTTCAGTCTATAGCTATTGGACATTACTGTCACAACTGCAATCACAACTGGCTGTTGCCTGCATATATCTTGAGGGGGGAGCATTAACTGCAGGCAATACTTTTTTCCTGGCTTTCTACATGTAGCTACAGGGAAGAAAGCTTGGCCACCAAGAATTTACACAGTTGATGCACAATAGGCCATTTCCGAATTGGCTTTTACCTCTGTGTCAAAACAAGTCTTCGTGTGAAACCATTCACATGGAAATGTGTTCCACCTACATGTGCATTTTCATGCATATTAAACTCAATTTCATGTGAAAAGTTTTGCACAAAGACTAATTTTGAAACAAAGGCACAAGGTGTCTTGGAAATGGTCTATTTTTAAAAACTGAAATTTGACAAGAAGCACATGAGGAGTATACCACTACTAAATGGGGCCTGTCAGTTGCAGGCTGGAACACGACTACTGTCAGACAGATATCACTCCTGTGTAGTGTGAGGCACCATTTAAGTGTGGTGAGTCAACTAGAGGAAGTACATAAAAAAACACATGATTGAAGGCTACTTATTAATGAAGGCAGCCAGACAATCTCACCTGGGTGGGGACATGTGTGTCTCCTAGAGCAAGGGTTGTTACACTCAGGAGGTAAAGTTCCACATGGAATCGGTGGATACAAAACGGCTGACCCACAATGACATGTCAGCTCCTCAAAACCTGCATAGATGAATTTAAGTTGATTATGGTTTGTAAGAATACAATTCGTACAGATTAAGCTCATACAAGCTATTCAAAATTAAACAATCAGGCTACATCCTAATGCCACTTGTTATTATGAGGGGATTGCTTCAGAGAAGAGACCTAAACAGGGGCTTGAGCCAAATTGGCATACTAATTGTCTCTATGCAACCAATGTACTGTGGTGGTGATTTTTCAGTGACAGTACATGTAACTCATGCTACATTTACAAAAGTTTCCTATTTACCTCAAGGGACATTGTTTGTGTTACCTTGAGACGGAGAAGATCTTGCGTAGACATTTTAACATGGGAAACTATGATCATGTGACCAAGTAAGTAGTGTGGGCATAAGCAGGTGTTGAGTGCTAGTGCCACTATGCATTGCCCAAGTTCCTGGCCTTAGTGGCCTCTAGAAATACTAAACACTTAACCCCTTTGCAGTACATGTAGCAAAACTTGTTACCTGACATTAAACAAGGGGGACAGTAGCCAGGATGGCAAAGTTCCAGACATTTGTGATATCCACAACGCAGTTTTTTTCCACAAACAAGGTCACACCTGTGTTCCATGTCCTACGGCAGAGGAATAAAGCCGTATAAGCCCGTATTATAACACCAGTTACTTAACTATAATTATCCTGCAAAGTCACTAAGAATATTGCATTAGCTTACATATAAGGCAAAATGAAACTACTTTAGTTTGACCACTTATGTCACTTACTTTCCTTCAGTATTTTAGTACCACCGCATATTTTACCAAATTTGCTTTCCTTAGTACATTAGTAAGGTCTTCCGAATTTATACAGAATTCTGGTTCTTGATTTGAAAAGATAAATTGATTTGTTTAGAAGTTTGTAGCACTTATTTCTTTCTGAATAAACCGCTGCCTTCCCAAGCAAAGTGGAGGCGTGGTGGCCTCATGGTTAGTGCGCTTGACTCTGGATCAATGGTCTGGGTTGAGCCTTGGCTGGGGACATTGTGTTGTGTTCATGGGCAATATACTTTATTCCACCCCCATGGCTAGCTGAAAACTGAACGACCCACCCCTTACCAAGGGCTCAAAAACTGATGACCCACCTCCTCTCTTCTCCACCCCCCCCCNTTTTTGACCACTCCCTTACTTTCCTCGGAAAGGTAGGGTTAAGTCTGGATATGGGCCAAGTGGTCCATCAGGCCAGAGCTTATCCTGGTTTCTGTAACTTGAAGCCACTACAAGTATTTGTACTCCCCCCTCTGGATGGGATGTTAGTCCATCACAGGGTTATCCCCAGCATTAAATGACTCGTATGTGAGTCCCAGGACTCACTATAGCCTTTTTCTAGGTGGATCACTGTTCTACAGGTAGTGAGGCTAAAGGCCAAGTGTGAAAGGTTTGCTGTCAAGTTCTTTTAGAGTTTACGGACATGACCTAAAGTTGCAAAAGTAAAGGAAAACAATATTATTTTTAGACGACCCCACCCCTGTACTTTTTGACCAGTCCTAATTAATAAAAAGTGGCTAAAAAAGCGTTGGAGAATTAAGAATTTTCACTACTACAACTTGTTTTCTGTATACTTATGGTAAGTAACAAAATAAAAAAAAAAATGTTTCAAAAAGGTCAATAATGACTTATCATGAGTCTTTATAGGTCCAGGTAATAGAATCTTGAAAATGGCAGCTTTTGTGAAGCAAATACAACTGTTACAAGTTTGTGATACTAAGTGACTAAATTAACTTCATATTATCAAGTCAACAGTCAGTTTTTAGGGGATCTATGTGTTGTAGGGAGCTGCAATCATGTGTAAGGTAATGTCTCCAAAGTGAAAGAAAATGAAAGTGAAAATAAGAAGTGTTTTGCAGTTTACCTGCTAGAACTTTTTGAAATGAAGATACACATCAAATTGCAAGATCTTGTGTTAAAACCCTTCATGGCATATAGTCTCCTTAACACCAAGATTTCACTTGCATCATCTGGTATAAAACTTTCACATTAAAGAATGAATGATTTTAGTTCAGGTAGGTAACTGTTTTCCATTTAAATATGCAGTTTGAAGATTCATACAATCATAAGCAATCAAGATCACAGCTCCCTGGCAACATGTGAAATTGGTAGTTCTTGTGACAAATGCGAACACAGACACAAATGCAGTTTCAATGAACACTAAAGATTTCACTTGCAACACCGAGTATAAAACTTTCGCTTCAAGGTATGAATCACTGAGGTTCCAAACAAACTATTCTTTTGGTTTAGCACATGAAAAAAATCAGTACCATGTACCATGCATGCATGGCATACAACTTGTAAGACTCAAAGTAAACACGAGCATGCAGCCAATCACCAACTTTGATTTACAGTAGTACCAATACCTAACCAAAAAAGCTGATGTTGAGCAAGTCTCTCTACAATTACAAAAGTTTGGCCACTGTAATTTTCTTAAAATAAGCTTTATTGGGAATGTATAAGTACTAAGTTATCATAAGTAGTAAAAAGCAAATGTCAAACAGAAAAAGAAAGGAAGACAGAAAAGAGAATACAGTCGAACCTCTGGCTGCAACCACCTCTGCTCAGCAACCAGTTTTCCAAAATATGAAAATTAAGTTACCAAGTCAGATCACTATATTTGGAACCTCTCGTAAGCGACCACCTATCATAAGCGACCGCGACCCCTTTTAGAGCTAAAAGTTTGAAATTTTCTTTTGTTTTTAACCTCCTGTAAGCGACCACTTGACAGATAATAGAGCATAAATTGGATAATAAGGTGTTGTAACATCATCTCATTCCTTGGTAGTACAAGAGATGGAAATTTCTCAATGGGAAGTACCGCTTTTTCTTGAAATTGATGTTTCACATGAATACAACAGTTAAAACATGGGGTAAGTCTCTGCAGTTACCATATAATAATGAGGCACAATTTTGACCCAATATGGTCTTAGCTCTCATATGTGAACACCTCCCGAAAGTGTCCACTTAGGCTTCACATTTTGGGTGGTATGTTATGGGAGGTTTGACTATAATTGCCAGAAGGGAAAGCGTGAATGGGACAAGAGAACCCATGCAAAGCCCTTCCCAGAATGATATATAACTATATAAAAAAAAACAATGGTTACTCGTGAGACCTGAACTTCTCTGAAGTTATATATATATTTACTGTCTGTATTCGCAAAAACATAGCCACAGAATTTGACTTGTCACTGATAATCTTGATACAATTGTCCTAGAGCTAGCTTTCAACAAGGCTTATAGTAACTGAAATAAAAGGAAATAACTCTCCTGTATGCCTTTTGAGGCCAGAAAGACTGAATTCATGGTCTTTACATTGATTCATGAATTGTACAATTTAATTAAGGGTGTTTTCAACATGAATTTTAGTCTAAATCAACACAAACATACACACATCAAAACCCCGGCAGAGAGCTGATCTATAGCTTTTTTAAGGCGTGCATCATCCATCTGAACAAGACGTTCCTACATTGCAAATTGATGACACTTCAAGTAAACTGGGTCATAAATCAAACTAAGCAAAAACTCAGTGTGATGTTCAGAAATCCAGACATAGAATTCCTTCTGTGCTAGCAAATCACAGACAGCTCTGATTGTTAGCTAGGCCAAGAATGCCTAAAATTGATAAAACAAGGCAATGCTACTCATGATCAGCACTCAACTTGATTTCCTTCACTCTGTCATAGCCACGGTTTGCTTGCAAACAGCAATGTACCGGATGTACCTGAATTAATTTTTCATCAGGCAGGAAAGTAGCATTTTGTCACACAACAGATTTTTTCTAAGCCTTTAGCTACATCAAAGTTCAGGCCAAATAACACCAACAGCAGCTAGAAATGTCTAGTCCTTTGCACATGTAAGCCCTAATTGATGTGGCTAAAGCTCTTTGCTGTCCAAAGCAAGCACAACATCATTGCCACCGTACAAACAGCCTTCTATTATGGGGCTGAATGGCAACCCATTTATACATCTAAGGGCCGTGTCATGCATGATGATGGACGCTTGCTAGCAAAATCATTGGACTTCACCTTCATTGGACTTAATGATGTCCTCAGGAAGACTCCCATTAGACAGCAGTTATAGAACACTAATCGGTCGGCTCCTCCTCAGAGTAACCGTGCGAACTGAAATTCAGACGAGTGTAGCCTGGGCTAAACTTAACACCAATTGAAATGGGGAGGGGAGGGGAGTGGGGTGGCAATAAATAATAATAAAAAAATAGATAAATAAATGAAACATGCATCAAGAAGTTCTCTACATTTCCCGCTAGGTAAGCTTTACAAGCTGCTGTTATTAGGAAAGCGAACAAAAAAAAAAATCACAGGTTCCACGAATGAATGGGTTCAAATCTGCCAGCATGTTTTTGGAAAATCAGCCAGATATATATGATAACATAAGCTATTTACAAGGCATATAAATAATAATATTACTAAAAAGCTATTCACAATAATATTAAACTATAAGAAAAATATAAGGAAAAAAAAAATTAGTTTCTACGGCTGGAACATTCTCTAACCGACAACCAGGTACAGGATAGTCAATATCAAAGAACTTAATAATGAAAAATAATACTTTGTGACAAAGCTCTTGAAAGTTGAAACACTAGGAAAACAGGAGATGGGAGAAACAGTACAAATTAAATTCCATAACTTAACAATCTGATTGAAATAAGAAGCCTGAAATGTAGTAGTTTTACAAAAATTAGTTGTTAGCATAATACTGGAGTTTTGAGTTAGACGTTTATAAATAAGATTAATTTTACATTTTACATTTATGTTTAACCTCGTGACTTATGAAGGTAACATAGTCATTAATATTTAAATCTATGAGTAAATTATCAATATGGAGTGATGATCATGATCGTCTCGCCACATGCAGAAATCAGCCTTCATGATCAATGCAATTTGAAAATGCAACTTTGCAAAACCCACCAATTACATCATTGTATTCGAACACTGGCATTGTGTGTCACTACAGTGGAAACCATCGGAACTGACACTGCACTCGTGAGAAAGGAGAAAAGACTTGAATGAAACAAGATGTGTCTGGAGGGAAACAAGATGTACGTTGAGAGAAACAAGACACGTCTCTCAAGATGGTGGTAACTTACTTTTGAGCGGTACAGTAGTTTCTCCAGGGGGATTAAAACACAATATTGTAAATGTTTCACACACTCGTTAAGAGGTCATGCTAGTATTTGGGAGTCTTGCATTCATTTCTTAAGTTCCAAGCAGACTTCCTGCGGGCCTAGCTAGACTAATGAATGTCTGTGTACAAACATCCATTTCTTTCTTCAAGAAATACTCTACAGCTTCTTGCTGATAACAATTTAAATTGACAGTTTTAATGTCCAAAGACTCATTGAAAGGGGACGCTCATGTCCACTGAACAGTTTAGTGTTTCAAGTAATACATCAAACACGAAATACCGTGTTTGACCACATTTCCAAACACTGAGAAGAGAGTTGAAAATTTGACACACAGCGGAGCATTTTTTTACGAACTTCGAGGTGTTTGGAAATGTGGTCAAACACTGTCTTGAGTGTTTGATATATCTTCTCAATCGAAACTAAAACTAAGGAGAAAACGGAGAAATAAAATTGTAAAAATCTATGCTAATTAAGATCAGATATCCAAACAACGTCACAGACATGATTTCCTCTGTTTAAACTTGATGAAATATGAATGAGTTTGAGAAGTGGTTGTAAAGCCACCTGGAAGTTCATCAGTAAAACAGAAAACAACTTCCTCTGATATAAAAATTTAGTCTTAAAAGTTTATATTTAACAATTATTCGCGGGAGAGCGCATGCGGCAGCATGGCATATGGATGCAACTTCTAACGCTCCGCCAAGTATGGGCGCTCATGTCAGTGCTCAAAGCAAGTAACAGTTAAATCAATTACCGATTGCTTATTTCAAGTTCAAGAAATGCAAAATATCTAATTTATGGCAAGTAAGAGAAACAAAAAAAGAAAACAGAGAGGATCAAATTCTTCGACTCACAGCGAGTCCGACACAATGAACGAAGAAGGAGTCCACGAAGACATCAAAAGCTCTATCGACCCTTAATCAAAGCGATGGAAGCCGGCTTCGCCAGCTTACGTGCCGACTTCGACAAACTCAGACAGGAATTTAAACATGAGATTGAAGAGATGAAAAGCGAAGTAACATCGTTGAAAGAAAGCNGATTGCTTATTTCAAGTTCAGGAAATGCAAAATATCTAATTTATGGCAAATAAGAGAAGCAAAAAAAGAAAACAGAGAGGATCAAATTCTTCGACTCACAGCGAGTCCGACACGATGAACGAAGAAGGAGTCCACGAAGACATCAAAAGCTCTATCGACTCTAATCAAAGCGATGGAAGCCGGCTTCGTCAGCTTAGGTGCCGACTTCGACAAACTCAGACAGGAATTTAAACATGAGATTGAAGAGATGAAAAGCGAAGTAACATCGTTGAAAGAAAGCGTGAGTTTTACACAAAGCGAGGTGGACACGCTGAAGGAAAAGTTGAAGGAAAACACGAGGGACATGAAGGATGGTCTGGAAAATCTCAGAATGAAAGTAGCACAGCTGGAAAAGAAATTGGAATCTGCAAGAGAAGAAAACATCAAGCTAGAACAGTACACCTGACGAGAAAACCTACGTTTCAACAATATCACAGAGCTCAAAGGCGAGGATTGCAAAGCTCTGATTTGTGGTGTAATTCAGAACAAAATGGGCTTGGATGCATCGAACATAAAATTCCATGCAGTTCACAGGGTGGGTAAGAAAATCGAGAACAGATCCAGGCCGATCATCGCCCGCTTTATCAGCCGTGAAGACAGGAACGAAATCTGGAGCAAAAGAGGTAAGATAAAGCATTCAGAAAACTACCCTGATGCCTACATTACCAAAGATTTCGCGAAGGCAATACAAGATGAAAGAAAAGTGTTAATCAAGGTGATGATGAAGGCAAGGGAAACCCAAGAGCATCCAAACGTGAAGGTAGTTGGACGATATCTTCTAATAAATAACGAAAAATACGATTATAAGAATATCCCAGCCTACTTAAATTAA